CCACTCAGCTGGGATCAGAGCCAAGTGTGGTGACACGCTTAAGAGCGGCTCCGGCTGCGCCAACCACCTGGGCTCCCTCCTACCTCCGGTCTTGTTGACTTGGTTACGACACCGAGCCCAGATGGGGGAGGCGGAGAGAGTGCGATGGATGCAGTGCAAGTCGAATATCACTTAAAATTAAGCACCACGTTTGCCTTCAGCTTGCTGAAGCACCTGGTGGATTTCGTCGAAACCGACTGTCGAGTTCTCATGTCAGGTGGGTTGCTTTAGTCAAGTCTATGAGCCGTTTTCGTAAACAAGTATTTCAATTGGTTCACGATGGGTGTGGGGGGAGTGAGAGTTTGCTGATTTGTATTCTCCTCGGAAAGTAATGCACTAACTTGGAGTACATCAGCAGTCTTTCTTGGACTATACGTAGCCTGTTTGCTTTCCTTGTAGTGTGCATTTCGCTAAAAACTCAGCCGAACTACAACCGCTTCTTGACACGCACCTTGATGCCATAAAATGATTTCATGACGAGGAGGCTCTGAAAGCAGGAATCTGACCTCGCTCAAAGCCCGAACTAGCCGAGATGGCAATGATGGAGTTTTAAGCTAATGAGGCAGCTGGGGAACTTTCTCGGTCCAAGCAGATGCGTGAAATTTATGGGATCGACCAACAAACCCTTCGGGTATTAGTAATAGTAGTGAAAGTCCGATTCCCAGGTGGTAAGTCAGAAGGAGAAAGGACGTTTACCGGTAAAGATGTATTTTTAGCTGACGTTTTGAGTAGTTGTCTCGTGTACTCATCTTCAGTGAATTCTCTGACTCCTGGTTCTCGATATATGCCAATATTTCCTTCTGCGTGCGTAGTTTACCAATGCCGACAGAGTTACATACACGATCAATAAGGACGTTGACGACGAGATGCGAGAAACAAGGCGGCTAGGTCGACATTGGTAGACTACGCGCACGGAAGAAAAGAGTGACATATAGCGAGAACCAGGAGCCAGAGTATTCACTCTCTCAAGATGGATAGACGAAATTACTATCCGAAGCGTCAGATAAAAAATAAACCTCTCCCGATGAAGGCCCCTTCTCCTTCTGACCTACGGGTATTCTTTTGAACAGCATGATCAATGCTGTTTTTTTTCAGTCAAATTTGCAAATGACAGAAATATTCCATGAGCAACGACACAGAAATTCCCAACATACACACTGAAATAGTGGTAGATTTGCCGCATTGTGACACTGTTCTTGATTTTAATGGCAATTTTGCCACTGAAAACTGAGCCAAGGTCGAGCGCCGATGGATGACTTTTGTGCATCTTCAAAAACGCATTTAAAGAACCAATCCCCTTTCTTTTGTCGGACGCAAGTTTTCAACCTCACCCATCCTGTGCAGTTGTAACGCAACGCCCAAAGTATATGGCATCTCTGCAGAAGCACAAGTTTCGTATCGGCATTCTGGAGCTCTAGAACCAGGATACAATTAAACAAGCATTGGAATGTGGGAGTACACTGATGACGGAAATCGCTCACCTATATATCTACCTTTAAATGTGTAAATAGCATGCAACACGACAACTGATGTGTCGGGCCGACACGACTGAAACTTCTTTAATATCGGCCTTTTCCAGTGGGTTTAAAGAA